AAAACTGCAAGCTTTCAAAAAAGAACATGTAAATTTTGAAAATGGAAGTTGGGAATGATTGAAGTTTTCTAAAAAAGTACCAAAGGAAAATAGAAATCCGTATGTACTGTAGTGTCATTCGTCTAGTTTCTAAAAATTCCAGTTTTATTGAATTCGGATCACTGAAGCCAGAGAAATCCACCCCGCAGTGCAACTCGGAACTTTCGGTAAGGTCTTTCAAGGATGCATGTACTTTCTGTACAGATCAAGATTTTTTTATGAAAATTGGCAGAAATATAGTTAAAAGTATGTACTTTCAACACATCTAAGAATTGTTTGTATCGAACATTAAGTATCGTTTCAAAAAATTCTCGAATATCAACGTTTTTCGCTCGAAACGCGTTGTTCCTCCTCAACGAAAGAAACCTTCGTTTAATCGAAATTTCATTTGCCTATCGGTAGTAAACTCGAAACGTTCGAATTAACGTCCCGAGTGTTTCCTCGAGCGTGCTATTAATAGTGCGAACCCGAACAAATCTATCCATTTATGCACCCTATTCACGTTGTTTGCAAAATCACGCGCCATTTTTGTCATGCTAAGCGCTTTTCTTTCCGAACGTCGGCGGCAAAAATTGACCGAATCACCGGACGTTTTGCCAACGAGGCGAGTAAATTATTATTCATAAATTCATTGAAAGTCGTAAAACGATTCCTAGTACACTGACATTGTATCGGCGTCCATCGCGTTGTGTTTCTATCCATTCAGCTTGTTTCCTGCATTTGCATTTTACAGAAAGCGCTGAAGGAAAAATCGTTCCCGCGCCTAACCACGCGTTCACGTAAGCTTTTAAGTTTCAAGGACTGAAAATCGCTGTGGTATAAGACGAAGAGAATGAAGGAAACGTTGACGAGTTAACGATACGTGATTTGTTGTAAATCTGTCGTGTGAATTTCTCGATACCAACAACTGGATTCGTTCATAAATCGTAGTATTCGGATACCGGACTGTTCAAACACTATTCTTGAATTTTTTAAGGCGAAGAGGGAGTTCTACTACGTTCTAAAAAATGTTGCTATTCGAATAAGTGCGATTTAAATACTACTCGAACACTGGCTTCGATGTAATCGAGATATTTTTCATCAAACTTTATCGTTAGTGTTAAGAAATTAGGAATTCTTTTACGAATCATGCCACGTTGAAAAAGGTTAAGAACCACTGCGCTAACGCGACGCCACGAAAATAGTGTACCTATCGCTGTTAGCAGTCTGTGCATACGCTTGCACAACCTTGTTCCGGTTTTAGAGCAAGCCGTATCTTTCCACGGAGAAACATAAGCATTTTTTTCATCAACCGTTACCACGACACTTATCGCGACAATGTAACGACTACCGGAGGAATCTCCATCGCGTCGTCTTATATTCCACCAAGTTCCTGGATCGCGGATTCCATTAAAGCCAGGATAATTTTCATACCGTCGATACACGACGAATGTATAATTAAAATCTCGCTGAGGCATAATGCTAAAAGTGTGTGATCAATTACGAGAAACCGCGGCTGCGATACATATTCCGAACAGGAAGACAAAGAGACCGTAAATGACGTAAGACCGCTCGACGATCGAAGCACGATGGAAAGGTATTTTCCTCGAATCCTGGCGGGGCGCGGCCGTTTGTGCGAGTTTTTCATGCGAGGGAGCTTGTTTTTTCTCATTCTTAAATTCACGTTTCGCGACGTTATCGTCTTACAACGCGGACAAAAAATGGAATAATCTACGAGACGCGTTTCTGTCTCAACGCGGCAAAGGTTGCTCGTTACAGAGTTTTACACGATCAATGCCACGGTAGCCGTTGTTTCAATAATATTACTTGAATATAGAATTATTTATATACGACTCGTATAACTGACCATTCGATTTCTACTCAAATACTCTCCGAATATTCATCTGTCCAACTATTCATTCAGTACTCAAACATTCAAATACTCAGACACATCCTTATTTAAATAATAATGTTTCCAATGGGCTACTGAAATATCCAACATCTTCGATATCTGCATCGTACATTTCAAGAATTAATTCGAATACCAGCATGGCCGATCGTAAGATATCGTAAAAAGCCCTGTTCGAAATCGGCAAACAAACAATCCGAGGTAACGAGATCGTTGCGAAAAAAAAAACAGAAAAAAAAGTGGCATCTGAGTTTGAATTAGCATTTTCCAAGCCGGACAGGCGAGTGTCGGGTGACTTTACGGACGGTCAGCGTGCGCATATCTCGAGCGGACGCCGGGGACGCGCAAACCGGTAGGAAAGCACGCCTAACGTAAGAGATCGTCTAAGAGGAGTAACGCCTAGTTACCAGCGTGCACCGTCTCGCGGAGTTGCGGCCGTTGAGGAGAGGTAACCTTGAAACTGGCCACCACCTCCAACTTCGTCACCTCTATCACCTACGCCCGGTGGCGCGTGGTGCGCATCAGCGGCTCCGACGAGCGCGACCGGTAGCAACCGGCGGTAGTGGCAGGAACCCGACCAACGCCGGCGCGTCAGGCTGTCCCTTCGGAAGCAACGAGGAGCAACTTAGCCATCGTCGTGCAGCAACAACTAGAGCAGAATAAGAGGAGAAAGGGTCCCCTTCCGCCAACACTCTCCTCGCCCTTCAACTCCGTGGAACCAGCAAAGAAAGATCCCTCCCTTTCCTCTTGCTAAGGACTCCTCCTCCTCTTCCTTCGTGTCCTCCGTCGCAGCCCTAGCGCGTCCCAGCTCGCCGTCTCTCTCTTTCCTGTTCCTGTCGTCCTCGCGCGGTCCTCTCGCTCCCTTCGTCACGGGGAGCAAACCGGATTCGCAATAAAACGAGTCGCCGCGAAACACACGGGACCAACGAGGATCTAACATATACGGTCAAACTGGATCTCCATCTTTCTACTTCTCATTCTGCATTCTCTTTCTCTTCCCTCTCCATCTTTCTCTCCTCGGTCCCCCACCTCGCGGGCCCCATTTCTCTCCGTCTCTTTTTTTTTTGTCTTTTACCTCTCTCTCTCTCTCTCTCTTCACCTCATCCCGTTGCCTCAACGTTTGATCTCCTCCCCTTCTCCTCGACGGTGCCCTTTTCTCCGTTCCCTTCTTTCGCCGGTTCCGCCGCGGCGTCCGTCCTCGTCTGACGCGATTCGAGTGAAAGGGACTTCTCGTGGAAAGAAGGGATGGCTAGAATCGGCGAGTCGCGTTGTGAGAAAGGTGCAAGTACGACCGTCGTTCGACCGCCTCGTGGGATGAGGTGGAGGCTAAGGTGTGTTAGAAAGGAGCAGTGGCGTCGCTGGGGAGCTGCGCGCCGCGTGACACCGTCAAAGGGGACGACACACCGAAACGAACCCTTCGGCGCGATTCGCGAACGGCGCTTTCGCAGAAATTTATTACTTTTTAGTAAAGATATTTTTTGCTTGTTAACGTGGAACGCGCTCAGTAGCGTATCGAACCTCAACCGGGGGCTCGGATGCTTCTTGTTGACTCGCATAACAAAATCAACTAATGTTCGAATGATATTTACAAGTGTAAATTGTACATCTGTATGAAAATATAGACGTACTTGTTACAAAATTGGGAGTGACAAACATTAATGCTACATCTGTGGAGAAGAGCTAGCAGCCGAGGTGGCGCTCCGAGTCATCATTCGCGAGAAGTGGTGGGGAGAGTCGCGCGCCTCTTATTAGACAGGATCTGCTACATGCGCTAATATCTCCAAAACTATAAGAGATATTGAAAATATGTTAAAGACAAAATATAATTATTTGTAATACTCTACTACAACGTGGTAAAAGTTTCGCAATTCAAAGGTGCGAATCAAATCAAAGATTGGATTCAATTCCTGGAAAACTTCAGTTTCTGTTAAATTTCTTACTGTAATTTAATTCGCAGGGACATTTTCGTATAGATTGACAGTAACCCTAGCGACGCCGCTGTTAGAAAGGAGCATCAGGGAAGGAGACGATAGAGGGTAGAGAGAGAAAGAGAAGTGGTGCAGTTCAGGGGAAGGTGAGACTGTCTCACGACTGACCAAGTGGCCCTAGAGGGGATGTTGCTTCATAATTTCGAGGTGGCGTGTCAACAGATTTTCTGGAGGAGTTGCGTAACCGTTTACGCGAAAACGTTACATCGTTGAATTTTCGTTGGTGACTGGTAAGTCGGGAAAACGCTGGGATACGGAAGAGAGTCTCTCAGGTTCCGTTAAAAAGAGATTAGAATTTGCTCCGCCGTTTGCCGTCGTCGGGCAAAGTAGACTGTCCTAATTATAGTGTCGCGTGAGTCAGACAAGGAAAACAACGTCCGTGTTGATAAGATTGCGCGGATAGCAGGAGAAATGTTGCGTATCACCTATCGCTGTAGTCGTGTAGCTACGCGAGCAACTGCCGCGGGTTCCAGGGAGATAAAATTCATTGTAGACGGTAACGACGTAAGCGAAACGTCTCTGAGCGTATTTGATGCTTTTTAATCTAGAAATAGCTGACGGAACGCCGAGCGTGTTTTTCTCCGGCTCGAGATAGGGCTGCGACTATCCGAAGTGTTTAATGTACGAGCATTTTATAGATATACGAATGATGACGAATAAACTTGGAATATTTTGCTTTCCGAGAGTAATTGTACGGGATAATTTCTGTTATAGTTATTGGATATTCATACAGTTGAGTATTCGAATGATATTCAAATACCGAACTACTGGAATTTATAAATACTTAAATACCATTCGACTACTTGACTGTTGGAATACATGAGTATTCGAATACTCGACTACTCAATTACTCGAGTACTTGAATATCTCGTCCACTTACGAAGTATCCCAGTACGCGTGATAAAAGTAGAGTTTCCATGTTGGAACATCGAACGAGGCGGATGTAAATCGAATAAAAATTGTCGGAAATTAATAACGATAAGTGCGTATCGATGTAACGCGATAACGAAACGCCATAGTAATATGAAAGCGTAAACGCAAGAGGGAATGCGAAAAAATAGCAAAGTGCTTAATTGCATGCGTACCGAGGTTGAAGAGGACCTTGCAGCCGTCCCCTCTTTTTCTCGGTCTCCTTCTTTGACTCTTTCTATTCCATCCTCTCCGCCTCCTCCCCTGGTCTTCACTCCTTTTCCGACGCTCTTCTCTTTCGCGCGTAATGATAAACAGCCGCGTGCTCCCTGTAACGATTACGCAAAACGTTCGGCCTTCTCGACGCGCTTTTAATTTAGACCGCACCATAAATAAATAAATAATATCTAGCACGATAACTCAAGGTGGCTGGATGAGCCGGTCGGGCCTGCACGCGAATTAATTAATTTCTCGGCAATTACGACCGCGCTGATAACGCGCGCAAACATTTGACGTAACAACGCGCTCCTTGAGAAACTGTTGGCATTTTTCGGGATGCCGTCGTTCATCGAACTTCATTTCGGCCAACGAAACAATATAGAGGCAAGCCCAATTTATAAGTACTCGAGCCGAGCTAGTCAGGTCGCGGAACTCTATTGTAAAGAAATTCTGTACGTAGTATTATTAAATCGTTTAAAGGAATCGATCATTTTCGATAATATCGAAAAGATTGGAGCCGCGCAAACTCAGTAACGTCAGACTGATTAAGACAACGTTAGTTGCTGGAGCGTTCGCATTTGTCCAAAAGGTTACCGATTTCTCATCGATTACAGGTTAAATCGTTACTCGGCAAGATGACATTTTTAATGGCTCAATATCCTCGAAATAGACCGATCGTAGTCGCGAAAAGTTCGTACAGACCGCAAAAGGGCGCATTGACATTTTGCATCCTGACATCTATTATTTCATTCCGTGGCTCGTTCTTAGCGGCGGGCTCGAAAACAATTGATTATAAGACTGCTTGTTGAATTTTTCTGTACTCGTATACAGGAGTAATTCGAGTAAAAGGTGATTCGAGTGAAAAGCGAAGATTTCAGCAGTATTTGTCTATGAAATATTCGAGTAGCATTTCAATAATTAAATACTCGAATATTCTCGTACTCAATGATCGAATATTCGAACTCTGCTCCCGAACATTCGATTCATCGATTAATTGGAGTATTCGAAAACAGAAAAATTCGACGAGCAATTCCGTATACTTTCGCGTCGAGAAAGAGCAAAAGGAAGCGGGTATCGCGCCGAATTGCGCCGTCGCCGGCGTGCATATCGTATCAGCTGTTCCTCGACCTCCTTTCCGTGCGGCCCTCGAGCGAAATTCGTCTACCGCTCTAAGTATAGCCAGGCGCTGCCGTAATCTCCGGACGCGTGCACATCGTTGACCGAATCTACGAATGGCAATAGCTGCGGGTACGCCCGTCCGTCGCGACCGAGCTCGGAGAAAGAGGGATAAAGAAACAATCACGTATCTGGTACACCGACTCGAATTAAAGCCGCACCGGTCGGCCATGAAATTCTTTCGAAGAATGTTTATAAATAGTTCCAATGAAAAGTAAAACGCTCACCGAGCTAAAGGTTTCGTTAATGAAACGAGTCCGGCGCGCGATCGATGCGCGTCCACGTGATGAATGAAAGGGTTTCGAGGGATCGTGGGCCACTTTGGGTGTTTCGACGGCATGGCTGGTTACGTAAAGTCGCGACACGGGGACGCACCTATCAATTTAGAGCAGTGGTGCCCAAACATGCCAGGCACTTTCTGCTCGTTATAGAGCCAAGGTGAAAACTAATCCTAAATCCTGACAAAAAGTATGGAGGATTATTAGCGAGGTTTTAGAGACTCCGATGCCTCAGTTCATTTTTCAGGCCTGTGGAATATTTCGTTCCAACGTAAACAAGGTCTAATGGCTCCGAGTGTGAGGAGACATTTAAGTTCACGGGTGGACAAACAATGTTTTCTAATACCCGTTTGATATTCTTCTAATAGGTCTTCTCATCCAGCATCTCCAGGGGAATTGGAAAACATTCCGATAGAAGTACGAGATAACATTCCACTGGAAACTATTCAAAAGCTGTATGAATCTATTCCAAGGATAGCTGTATCAGAGGCAAATGGTGACCCAATCCATTGCGCAATGAGTAATTACGCAGCCAGTACGTGGACGAATTGTCCAAGTTTGTTTTGCGGCACACACGATCCTTTGTTCGAGGAAATGAGTTGCCCAAAGAGGATTCCATAAATGGAGCTAGGAGGACGAACCTCTGGGATTGAATCCTCCTTATCTCGATCACCGTTGCGAGCTGCCAAACAAACTAGGACAACTTGTCTGTCTATTAGCTGTGCGATTACTCATCGTTTCGGAGCGACTAAAACACTATTATGCCCGTTTCAGCATTATTTTACTCCCACCGTAATTCGAAATTTGCACAGTGCATTTACTGCACTGCGGAGCGTACCAAGACTGTAGCGACTCTTACCCTTTGAGAAAAAGGTCCTTTCATCGACTGATTTTCACTAGAAGAGCAACGATAACAACGACAAACGTACTTCGACCTCATCCTTTAACGTTCACAAATACTTCACCAGAAAGGTGGCGAAATACCACAAAAAAGAGAGGATAATTACATATTTTCATAACACTGGAAGGTATGCTTCAGATACTAATTCGAGTAGCAGAATTATAAGTGACGGATGATCACTAGTACTTTGTGAGATGACCTAGTATTTTCGTTAACGCCTCACCTTTGGTAATAATTCATTCGGTTCCTCGACGAGAAGCCTCGTCGGCCATATACGGGGCGGTCAACTTGTTAACTGAAATTGTCCTACTAGCGAAGAGGAACCTAGATTAGGATCGAGATCGTTCACAGTCGCGAAACTTGTCATGGTGCAACTAGCGTCGAAGCAAAGACGATTACGCGGGGTTTTAAGCGAAACGACAAAGTGTCGTCAAAGACGTTTGCTGTCGCGAGCTAAACCAGTAATGAAAGTAAACACGGAGGAAACCTGAAGCCGAAGGTGTTTACCAGCGAGTCATTCAAGCATTTCACTATCGATCACGGCTGAAAGCGTATTCGATGCATAACTAGAGCAACGGCATAATAATTCCTCCGGATGAAAAAGTTTCTTCACGCGCTGGCTGCGCGAGTACCGATTGGGCCCCCGCGAGCGGGCCAACCGTGCTCCAAGAGAAAGAAAGCACGTGGGCGTGATAGGTGGCGCGAAGAATAGACGGGTTGGAAGGTCGACGAAAAGAACCATACGTGGAGATTGGTGGCGGAGGGTGGTGGTCGCCTCCGGGCGGGGGGGGGGGGGGGGGGGGTGAAGGTTGGAGGTGGTTCTAGAGCATAGAGAAAAGAAAGAAAGGAAGAGCGGAAAGGGAAGGAAGAAGGAGGTGGGTGAAAACGTAACTTCTATCTCCTCGGTTCGCGAGAGACTGAGGAGACGGCGCAAGCGCGTTCTCGCGCATGAAGAGCGCACCGCGAGCGGTGGCGGAGCGAGAAAAGAAGCGGGAAAAGACAAAGAGTGGGAGCAGGGGGCGGGAGAAGAAAAGCAAAAGATAAAGTTCCCGGAGGCTGGAGCGATAAAGGGAGACGGGTCGAATCGGGTGAAACGAGATAGAAATTCTACAGAGACAGCGCGTGGACGAAAGAAGAAAAGGCTCATGGGAGGACGAACAGAAAGAACGGAAACGTACGTGGGGACCAGGGACGACGAGGGGAAGACTTGCACGAAAGGAAAAGAGCCAGCGGAGGGGGTTTTACGCGGGGAGCCTCTCTCGCTTCATTCTTACGTATTACGTGCACGAGTACCAGCCGAGTCTTGTATTACACCATTACCGTGACAAAGAGGCCTTCTATCCGACCGCATCCGAACGACGAGGATGAAAGCGCGCACCGTGTAGAACCGTTGACGATGAAACGTGTGTGCGTTCGCGGTGCACGCGCGCGTCGCGATAGACTTATGCATACGGCTAGACACAGAAACGAGAAGGAAAACCGCGGAAGAGCGAGAGCGAGAGAGATGGAAAGGTCGACGGAGAAAGACAGACGGAGAGACTCTACTCCTATCGCGCGACGTTCCCCGTGCATGTGCATCGGAGGCAACACCGACGCGACGCCGGCGTCGCACGCATGCACGCGCGCATACACACGCGGGCAAATCGAGGCACGCACGTACGCACACACTCGCCGCACCGGCGAGTGAACGTACACGGAAGGAGCAACACCTCACAAACGAGGCCTAGGCAAGAGAGCTATTTGTAATGTAATAGTGAGAGCACCAGTGGGGAAAGGGAGAGTGGAGGAAGGTGGTGGTAGGTGGAAGGGCAATGGTGGGAGGAAAGAGTAAGCGTAGGAAAGAGATAGGCAGAGGGAGAACGAGCAACCGTGGAAGCGAGACGGAGCTAGGTGCCACTCGACGAGGAACCAATACTACGGTCCCTTTACAAACCAACTCACAAGACTCGCGAGGCCTCCTCTCTAGCGTGAGTATTCCGCCAGGGAGTTCTCGAGAGAGAGAACCGTGCTTTTCGGACCCTCAACCCTTTCTGGGCTCGCCTGTAACCCACCGGGGCCCACCTGGCCTCTTCTCTACCACCACCACCAACGTCACCACCACCACCACCAACGAGCGGGAGTCACTACCACCGTTACGATTTATCATCACCGTCACCGTACCGACGTCCCGATCGCTGGATGGTGTGCTGCACGTACACGTTCACCGCGCCGCTCCGATCCGTGTGTGACCACCACCACCAACCACCACCGCCACCACCACCATCGTCACCACCACCATCTCTCGCCGACTGCCCAGTCTACCTCTCTCCGCGTTTACCTAGGACCAGACAGAGAAAGCGAAAGAGCAAAAGAGCGAGAGGGCGAAGAGTAAGAGAGGGTCTCGGCTTTGCGCAAAAGTTACGACGGAGCGAGGAACAGTGAGACACACCGCGGAGACCGGAAGAGACCCTCTCTCCCTGAAGAAGTCCTCCGGCGAAAGAGAGACCACGCGCGAAAAACCATAGATCGTTTTCGATCGAGTGCGTCGGAGTCAGTGTGTCGTACCGCGGGCTGTGTATGTGTGTGTGCGCGCGTGTGCATGTGCTAGTGCAAAAAGGTAACGAGGACGTCGTCGTCGTCGTTGTTGTCGTCGTCGTCGTCGTCGTCGTCGTCGTCGACGTTGTCAACGTTTCGTCGGTTTCGTCGTCGTCGATAACAGAGGCCACGTGGTACCCATTGGTTTCCATCCTCTTCCGGGTTTTCCATGGATCTAATCTCGCGAAATTCCACGGACAGGGTCTCGTAACGAGGCCCCGAGCGGCGTGCTATCGTGTGTCCACCAGTGAGCGTTCCCCGAGAACGAAAACACACCGGAACACGTGCTCATCCGCACGTGCTTTCGACGACGCACGTGCTCCACGGCCAGGTCCGGCTTTGCGTGCTCCGGCCTGTCCATTCGGGACACCCCCGGAAGAACCGTCGGGAGAAACGTCCCCGACGTTTTCCAGCCGTGGTGGGACCGCTCGTAGCTGGAAGGAATCGTGTTGGAAATTCCACGGGAATATCGGCGCTCACCGAAACAGGTGTCGTCGACGTGGAGCGTGCACACACCCGGTGGCGCGCACCGTGCTTGGAACGCGTAGCCAGCCGATCGATAGAAAGGAAGTGAAAGGTGAAGGAGAAGGAAAGGGAAGAAACGTGGAAAAGAAGAAGCATCAGAAACGAAGAGCGAGAGAACTCGCCGTTCGGTTTACCGCTTACGTACCGTGGCAAGAGCGGGCCGGCCGTTGTGTAAGAGCTGAAAGTAAAAGTTGAAACCGCCGACTCGGGGCTCGCGGGAGCGCGTGCTGAGCGCGCTAAAATCCGATCCTGTCTCGTAGGCTGGGCATAGCCGAATATTCTCCTACCTCTCTCTTTCTCTTTCTCTCTGGCTGCTTTCGGATTTCGGTCCCACCCAGTTGTTTCGACGCGCGCGTGTCCCCGCGTAACCGTGCGTCGATCAACCGTCGTTCCCGCGGATAGAACACGGGTGATTGTCAGGAATTCGAACGGCGGAACGCGCGCGCCCGCGGTACCGAACGCGAACACGAAACGGGAAACGGGACCGTCGAGAAAGAGAACCGTGGAATTGTGCAACGGCGACGTTTCTAGTCGGAAATCGATCGAAGGAAGCGCAGGATATAGACCGTCACCGTCGGGATTCCGCTGAAGAAAGCGATGGAAACGATTGTTCTCGGGCTGGCGTCGTGCGCAACGAAACGCGAGTGCTCAAGGTCGGCTGTATCTCACCGGTAACCCGCTTCCGGGACGAAGATCGGAAAAGGCTTTACCCTGCCTGGTGAACAGATTTCGCGGCGGTATCGGCGCGCGAGCCTGTCTCTCGATTCCTCGATCGGCGTCCCGCTCGCTGCAGAAGTTTCGTAAAACGGATTACAAAACCAGAAGAGAAAGGAGACAGAGAAAGGGAGAGGCAGGGGGAGGAAGAAACGAAGGAGAGAGAGACGATCCCCGGCCACAGGAAATCGTGGAGATACGGTGTTCGAGCACCTCCCGTCGAGGGTGGACGACGACGAGGTGGACGACGGACGGGAAAACGAGTCATCCGAGGAGGAAAGAGGGGAAAAGGGCGAAGGAGCCGAGGCGACCAGTCGCGGACCTCGCTACCAAGAAGATCCGGATGTGGCTGGATCCACTCGTTATCTTACGGAGTCTCTATCACCGCGCGCTTCGCCGATCTTCGTCCTTTGCCCCCCCCCCCCCTTCGTCCTGGAACTGGATTCTCACAGGGCACATCGTTGATCGATAACCTCCTTCTTACCTTCGTCCCACCCTGGTGGATCCCGCTGGATCGCGAGATCTCGAGCTCTCCGTGAACGCCGCGCGCGGGGACACGCGGCCGAGCGGAATTAAAAGTGCGCTTAAAAAGGTTAGCGGGATAAAAAAGGCGCGCGCGCGAAAGGATAAGAGAAAGGAATAGGAGCCACCTCCGAGTCCTTGAGAGTACCCAACGGGTAAAAGTGCCGCGCGCGGAGCCAGCCGGTTGACCCTGGGCAGCCAACGGAGCAGACCCCGTTGGAAAAAAGTTCTCCGCGTTGTCGTCGTCGGTGGATTTTCCTTCGTTTGCATCCCCGTTTCGTGGTGGCCAAACGAAATCCTGGCCACGTGTGTCATCCGGGAAACGTCTACGTGCCAACGAATCGCTGCTCGCTTTCCAATCGAATTTCCCCGCGGACGCTGAGGAACTCCGTAGTAACGCCGAAACGAAAATACGCCAGAAATTCGACGGCGCGCCGTATCGCTGTACCATGTGGACGTGCTCAGCAGTGTGAAGTGTCTCAGTGGCCGATACGCGTTGCGATTTGTTCGTCGTTTTCACGTTTTCCCCAGCAACTAAACGTGCCCGCGATCTGTTCATTCGGTGGTGAGATTCTACGCTCCGGAGTATCAATGTACGTCACGTGTATGTACCGTCGTCCACGTCGCCGCTATCACGGGATTTCGGGTCGTCGGCTCGTGGAGATGCTTCGTGACTCCTCGAGAGAGTCTTAACGGATAAATAATACTGCGTTCGCCGATTTGTTTCCTATTGTTTTGGATACCATATTGGATAAAGTGCGGACGATCAAAATTACGAGGTGAGGAACAACGATGCTTGCGCTATTCGCTTTCTTTTTCTTCCTTCTAATGATCGGATCGCGAATGTTTGTGCAAATTTATATTTTCACGGGTACAGAAGAGGAATTGGAACTTCGTGGAGTGTTTATTTTGTTTTCTAAAATAAAAGAAATGGGAAATGTAATTTTGCGATGAATACCTAATTTGATACAGATGTAACAGGTGTTCTGATACTTCTGGCCGATAGTGTATATCGTTGTTGGTGTTTTATATATTTCTGCATAAACATTCGTAGTTCGTCGAAGACTGTAGCCGTACCGTTCGGTTGTCAGCGTGTTTCGGAGTCGACTGGCAAATAACAGACGCCTCCGAGCGTGGAAGTTACTCTAATGTAAACATATT